TTAAGAAAAAATATGTGCTTTCTTTTTAGCTATAATCTTTTGTGCTTCTAAACCAGAAATGGCAAACAACAGAAGTCTAGTAAGTGCTCAGGAAAAATGCCATATGGCATGTGTATCTTGAAGAAATTATGATGAGCTCTAAACTTTGCAAATGTCCTCATGGCACGTGGATGCACAACCTCCAACAGCAAAAAATGTGTGAGTAAAACCGTGGCAATTTTTCACATGTTATTTGTTGAAGATACTTAGTTTGTTTCTGTGTGGTAAGTTGTAAAAATGAAACTGAGTAAATATTTTGTTAGTGTCAGTCTCTGACTAAAGATGAAATAAAATATTTAAAATATTTTTTATACTTTCTTTGTATAGTATACGCTCAGTTTCACTCAAGTAAAGGGAAAAATATATTGAAACCCTACAGATATATTGATTTCAACCTTCATCTTTGTTTAAAATTTTAGTTCTTTCAGTGTTCGTGAATCCTTTATTCTGGGTCCATCTGCAGCTGATTTAGTGGTCTGTAAAATAATTTCGTCTCCTCACATTTCTTTGGCTATTTAGATACAAGTTGTTCTTCTCCGGTCAGCCAGCCAACTGGAACACCAAGTCATGGTGTTAATAATTTATTTCAACTGGGAGAGTTGAAGATGTTTTTGAGCAAAGGAAATATAAGAACGATTAGAAATGACAAGATACTGCATGTATTTAGTGAAGGGCAGAGATTCCATTGTGTCCTGAGGACCTTCTTTGGAGTGAGCGAGGCCAGGCCTGTGTCCGGCTCTTGAGGGCCCAGCTGGGCTGGCAGCCGCCATGGCCAGAGCCCTGGTCACTGCGCAAGCCTGGGCTGGCAAGGCAGGGCCGAGGTGAGCCAGGGACACATTGAGTAAAGCCAGGGCCAGGTCTGGTGACAGGTCAGACACAGGCAGTGGTTGCCAGGCCACGCCAGGACATCAGCCCCGGGGACTGGAACCCGGGTGCAGGTTGGTGGGGCCTCAGTCGGGCACGGGCTGGGGCAGGGCTGCCGCGGGTGGGCCTGGGGCTCAGGCAGGGCCGAGCACTGGAGCTCGGGCTTGAAAGCAGCTCCCACAGAAGGGGCCTGGCCTGGGCTGAGGCTGTCCTGCAGAGCTGTCTGGCAGCTCCCCATGGTCACTGGAGGGAAGGAGGGGCAGCCCTCAGCTGCACTATCTCTGAGCTGGCCCGGAGCCCGGCAGCCAAATCTCCAGGAGGGGCATGCAGTCAGGGCCCTTACAGCCATTTAAGATCCCAAGGTGCTGCTACCCTTTTTTTCTCTGAGCATGGGAGCAGATGGTAGCCACTTTAGCTGTGCACCTATAAGTGACATCTAAGTTTCTAACTTTTACAGCTTTTTATTTACTTTGTTTTCTACCTAAGCAATAAAACCGTGCTATGATGACTCAGTGGACAATTTCAGTGCTTATTTTGGTCAAGGAAATGTATGCTCTCATTTGTCATACTGATTTTTATTTCCATAGTGTGGCAGCTTCGTTCCTCAGGCATTGAGCAGGTTTTCTCTGTTCCAGGCACTGAAAGACAGTCCCATTTCTCTGGCATTTGAGATGAGACAGACGAGGTGTATTGGGTGCTGTTTAGTTTCTTGGCTAAGTACGATGAGATCGTAAATGCTGTCAGATTACTGTATTATCCAAAAAGGGTTGTTTAAACATTTTCTTCCATGTTAGATACCAGTTGCCTAACTGAGCAGTAGTTTTTTCTCCTCTTTCGGATACTTGGAGAGAAGTCTTTCATGGCCAGAGGTCTGTGGGATGCCAGGGTTTCAGTGGGGAAGTGACAGAGAAACAGTTTCATTCTATTCATTGACTCAGAGATCCAGGATAAAATTTTCATTCAAGCCTTTGGCAAAATTCCCAACAATCTTAGAGGGATGCGAGTTTCACACACAGCCTGTACTTACTAGGTTATTACTCGGGGTGTACTCATTTAGAATGGATTGTAGTTTTGTGATAGATTGTAATTGGAAAGACTGTTAGCAGAAAAGAGAAGATTTGGCTTTCCTAATAAAAGGAAAATGATCATCACTTTTTAACTGTTGTGACTTGAGAACAGTTTAGATTACTTGGCAGGTGTGAGGTTTGCAGCATTATTTATTGGAGAAGGTCCTTTCCAAAGTGATGTGTATAAAGCTGCCCTTTGTGAAGTGAATTATTATGAAGGCAGTTTACCAAACATATTAAATTTACTAAACTATTAGGTTTGGGGGTTTTTCATTTATATAATACATACTGTCAGTTGCCTGTATACTAAAATTAAATTTAGAATTTTCATGAGTCTTATGGTGATGTTAATGCAGGCCTGTACCAGAAAATGTTTCAGGACCATAATACATGAATCATCATGTTCTCCTCTATCAATACAAAGGTATATTAATATGGTTACTTGGAGTATCCATGTAGTGCAACGGTAACATAAGTGCAAAGAAATATAAAACATATATGTCAAAGAGAGAAGAATACTTGAACAATGCAAGCAAATAATGGATAAGATTTGCATAACCCCTCCATTGTGGTTAAGACCTGATATATTGCCATTATTTTAATTTTTAATAACTTTGGTAGATAAATAAAATGCCTTCACCGTGCAGATAATGTATTTCTTGAGAAATCCAAAATTTAAGTATGTAAATTTAAGTAAGAGAATATTAAAATAAATCAATATATCCTTTGAACAACTGCTGGAAAATAAAGCAATGAATACATGCTTGTCAAATATGCAGTATAAATAAATAATTTAGGTGAAAATGGATGACTCGATATAACAAAGAGACGACCAAATAATGAAGGGCTAAAGGGTGGTTGTTACATCTGATGTACTTCATTGTATATTGTAAGTAATTGCTATCCATAAAAAATTCCATGGCTTCTGTATAAGAAAAAGAGACAATTTGACAGGCAACACTAGTAGGAAGCGACAGCAAGTACAAATCCCTGGCAACTGTCATTATCCTGCTGTTGAATTTACATCCAAAACTGTGTGATAACTTTGACCTGTGTAGCTGTTAGTGAACCAACGTCAGTTAAAGTAACTATATTTTTCACTTATGGAAAGAGATGTTAGCTATGCTTAGATTTATGTTTTAGAAAACTCTGTGGACTATTTCCTTTTCTTTACTGTTGTTTCCTATTTAAAGAAGAAATACGGAGAAATGTGCTTTTGTTAGACAATAATGAATAATTAGAAAATTGCACAAGAGCAATAGAAAAATTTTTGATTTGAGATGAACAATTTCGGCATGTAGAGCTATCTGCAAGTAAAAGTTCCTTTTGTAATAATTACTGAATTACTTTAGTGCTTTGGCCGTGAATGAACAGCAGTTTCATTGCTTTTAAATGGAAAAAAAGTTGCTAGAGCTCCTTAAGTTTTTATTGGTTTTAACTCCTTTTCCTATTTCAATTTCTGGTGTTAAAATCTTTTATCTCTGTTTCTCTTTTTGGACATCATTAATTGTGCCATAAAAATAGTTTCACACCACCTTGGTGGTAGCAGCTAGCTAAATTTATCATTGACTAAGAAGAAATTTTACTGTCATAGACAATACTAAGCTGTTTCTCTTGATTAATGAATGCCATTTCACACTGACTCTTTTATGAGATTTCCACATATTAAGAATTTTGTTTTATGACATTTAATCTCCAGAAAGATTGGCACCAGGGTTGTTTCTACATTTGAGTTTTCTCTAAGTATGAAACAGGTAGCAGTACAAGAGTAAATCTACTCTTGGTAATCATATGCTCGCATTTTCTCTTTGAAACCACCTCAGTTAAAGAGTTGGAATGTACGCACAAGTACCCAAAGGTTTACGTACACTGGATATATAAATGGTTGTTATGATGGTGGGAAATTTAAGAAGAAGCTGGATGAGGGCTGGACAACAATAGTAGTAGAAGCCCTGTAGGCATTTTCTTTGTATATGGTAATTTAGCGGCAGGAGGTTTCATAGGTACTATGTAGCCCTTTGCTACAGTGGACCACTTACATAATGCTTTAGTTGTCATGTAAACAAGATAATTCCTAGTTAATACTGCCAGTACTGTTAGTGTCCTCTTGCTGTCTCTAGTCAGATTTCAAAACACAGAATAATGAGTTTTATTTGAGTGATCTCCAGTATCTAGTATTCCTGTGATAGTATATTAAAGGATGTCCTAGGTAAGCATACTGCAATCTGTGTGGACAAATTTTGAAGTTCACATTTATTATGAAATCATTTTTGTAATTTGTAATGGAAATATTCCAACACTTAAGAATTGTTTGAATATGAAATAAGAGTGCAGGCTTGATCTCATCCAGATCCTTTCTTGCTTCTTCTTGATATTTGATGCTGCTGTTGGCATAATTTTACTAATGCAGATTTGGGTCTTCCAAAGACTGGATAAAATTAGGTTGTGTGATCTTTGTATGGGTGAATATTTCATCTAGACTTTTGGCCTACAGTAGAAAGTAATTTTGAGCCGTTTATAATAGCCTCAAATTGAAAGTTGGAGGTGTTTTTTCTGTTTATTTTTTAATATTCTTATGCACATAACCCATTTTTTTTAGCTATATGGGATAATGTTCATTTTGTATGAAGGAAGGCTAGCACAGGCTCAGTGCTCGTGTGATATAGTGTAGCTGAAATACCTACTGTACTTCACTGTAATCCTGTCCTACAGCACCTCTAACAATTTCCATTCTGATCTTAGCTTGTGCAAAGATTGATTGGATAATTACATAATTCGCAGAAATAAGAATCAGGATGAAACTATTAAAACAATTTCAGAAAGTATTTTCCAAGTTATTAAAGTTGTTGTAGGCTTTTCTGAACTCCTTACAACCAATCATTACTAACTTAAAGTAGTTGAAAGAGCAGAGCAAAAACTTCTGCTTCAGAAAATGTCTCTCTCCCTATGCAAAAATGGCTGTGAAAAATATGGAAGGGAAGCAAAGGTCTAGATAACTTTTATTTGCCCATAAGTTTTGCCTGCAATCAGCAGTGGTATCAAGAAGGTCAAGACTCCAAGATTGTTCTACACATCAAACAAAATCAGTTCAGAGCTGTGATGGAGTATCAGACATAGACAGCTACAAATCAAGTGGTACAGACAATTTCTGATTCTATCACCATCCAAGAGAAGTAGATCTGAAGGTGTTCCTAAAGGTCAACAAAAAAAAAGCTTTTTTTTTGAAAGCTCTTCCTTGTTGCTTTGAATCATGACTACTGTGGTTCAGTCACCTTGTAATGATGATTCAGTTGATATTCTAAAACAGACCTTGCTAATTTTTATAAGGATTTCACGACCTAACAATTTCTCAGAGTATATCCTTTTTCAAAACGTGTTGATTCCACCAAACATTTCTGAAAAGCAAATAAAATCACAATAAACCAGGAATCCCAGTTCACTTCACAAGTTTTTAATATCCATCAAGTTGATCCTCTGTAAAGAAGAATGTAATTTTCCATAATTAATCCAAAATTAATTGATTCTGTCTGTCTGGAAGGTCCAAGAGAACAGCTGGATTTTGCTGTGTACCATGAAGGTGATTAAAGTGAAGACCTGGTGAACAAAAGTGTATTTTAGAGTGTTTAATTTAGATCTCATCAAAAGCCTTTTCTTATTAGTGTCTTTTACTTTGAGAAGGTAAATTGCTGTAAAGTGAGACAAATCTAGATTATTACAGTTATCGTGGTATCCCCTTTTTTGTAAATGTTTTCTGAAAGTGCCTTAACCAAAACCATTAAGTGTTCATAATTGCTAATTTGTATGGTAAGACATATCTTTTAATATACTTGTTTCCTGGTGTATGAAAGTCATAAACTCTAAAACCAGAAGGAAAATATGTAGCTACTTTTTAAGTGAGCCACATTCTGGCGTTCTGATTCATATGATTTAGTACTCAGTACTGAAGCAGCTTTGCTGATTTAATAGCGTGATTTGCTTTAGAAATATCAAAAAGAAGACCAAAAAAGCTAGGATTCTTATGTGATCATTTTGTCATTCAAGAAATGTGGAAACGGTAAAATATGCGAGATTATTTGTATGCTACTATGATTTAATTGAAGTATCAGTTCGGTGCTAATTGAGAAACATCCAAGGTTTTTCATGAGAGAGAAACTCAAATCTTGGGCCTCAAACCAATTTTGAGTTCTGCATGGGAACCTCTTGCTGCACTTCAGGACAGAGATCATATGTCACAAATGTTCTTGCTGAAGTATGACTTCTTGTAAATCTCCCTCCTTTTTTTTTTTAATAGTCTTTGGTATTTTCACAAGTTATTTGTGGTATGAGCATTTTAAAATAGTATTATGGTTTTTAAAAAATTGGATATTAGTTTATTAAATTTTATTCTGGCAGCTGCACTGAATATGTTTTGCTATCTGGGAAAGAGAAACAATTAACAATAAGCCTCACTCCGCAGTCACGGTACAGGCATAATTGCTGTCAATTTGATTGAAATTTTGCCTGAGAAAAGACTGTCATCAGTTCCTACTTTTTAAACCAGAAGCAATAGCATACCTAGCATGCACAGAAAGCACTCTTTATTACAAGTTTTCTCAGAATCAGCAACGTTTTTTTCTATATTTATTTGTGCTGATAGTTTTTTGAAAAATACTTCTAAAATTAGGCGATTTATTTTCTTGTGAAATCCTTAAGATATTTCATAAGAGGGCTTCGTAGTGAAATTAAGCAACTACTTTCCAGGTATTCTAGAAGTTCTGAATAAACTCAGTTTGATATAGATTGTGTCTAGTTTGCTTATAGCAGTCCAATTTATCTGTATTTTCTATATTTATAACTTAGGTGCTGTGAAATAATGACAATACATTCAGATTGTCCTTTCACACAGTTATTGTAAAAGTTCCAAAAGAAAGAAAAAAAAGAAAAAAATAATCTTGGATTGTTTCTTTAAGATCCTGAAATGTATTTTTTTCAACAGCATTCACTGTTCTCTCTGTTTCAAAACTTTGGCATGTCCAGAGGGCATTTGAAGTATCTGAAGTTATTAAACAGCAGCCAAGTGTAATCAAAGTCATAGCTTATAAAAATGGCACAAGAAAGATCTTTGCTAAAGTTTCTGTCCTTAATTAAGCCAGTAACCTCTAACAGAAGGGCTTTTGCATGTATAAAGTTTGTTTGTAGCTTTTGCTTCAAACCTTGATGCAAATTCTTTTTTTCATTTAAAATAGGCTTATATGAAACTTTTCTTCCTTTGTACACTATTCCTTAAATATGTGACTTGCTAAAAATTCCTAGAAACACAAAGTTAACGAAGTTACAGCGTAATGTACAATGTTGTTTGACATGCAAAGGCACGAGCTCGATGCATTTAAATCAATCTTGTTAAGGTTATGTGTTTTCTAATCTTATGATTTCTAATAATAATGACTAAAATACTGAATGACTTGTAGTGCAGTTGTTACGCTTGGTAAATTAGTTGAGAGTGGATTTTTTAGTTCCAGTCTTATTTTTTCTGACTTACTATTGATCATAAAATAAATATGTTTATAATCAGTATTCCTTACCTCTTGCATGCATTTAGCTGCCGGAGGAGTCCTCTGAAAAGCTGAATCTGAACATGGCTGCAAGATGAGTGTTCTTGGCAGACGGCACCGAAGCACTAGAACCTAAAACCATACCCCATGATGCCGACATTTATATTTCTGCTGGAGAGACCTTCTTCTATCCATTCAAAAAACTGAAAGGTAAAAAGCAATACTGAGAACCCACAGCACATGGCTTAAGGGGTGCAATTAAAAATGATTTTCATCCTGTCTTTTTGCATGGTTTAACAAAACTAATGTTTACTCATTTACAGCTCAGTAAGAGGATAATGTGCTTAATGAAAGAAAAATCTACTGACAGCCACGTTTATTGCCCTTCATTAGCATTGGTACTTAATTTAATATAGATCTGAATAGACATTAGGGAGCCTGCAGGAGGTTAAATGGTGAAAATGTAAAGAGATTATTGAATTTACTGTTTAGTTTCAGTGACATCAAACAGACATAATTAATTAGGCTTATTCCACTAGCAAAAATAATCTAGAATGTTAGAATGGATTCATTAATGTAATTGTTTGAATTTTTCTGAAAGTTTAATACAGCTGTATGGAATATCTACTTAACTATGCTTTATTAATTTTAGATTTTTTTGGTAAGGCTATTATTAAAGTTTTTCTTCTCATTCCTTTACAGATCTGGTAATTATGTTTTTTTTTTTACAAGGGAGGAAAACTACTTCTGAATCCTGTACAGTTTAAATGTGAATCTAGATGTTTCTCTCTGTCATATTTTATGATCATGAAATACATTGTGAGATTTCTGCAGCAAAATTTATGGTAATGTTTTGTAACATTAGCTAAAGTAGCATTCATGCCAAATTGAAGATACCAATTGGGTATTTTATTAAACTATTAATTCAGTTGACATTTGTGATAAAGAACTTTTAATTGGTATAAGGTAGTGTATTATAAAAAGCAAAATTATTAGTAGTATAGTGTATATGTGGGTAGGAATCTACAATTCCAGTGTACGATTCCAATGAGAAGTGCAAATAAGATAAATTGTTTAACATTACGCAAAACGTTTCCGTTTGTATAATCTTCTAGTAGCAAAATGTGTGGTGTGTTTCTGAAAAAGCTGGGGATAGTAAAGAAGAAAAACAAACTACAAATCATTCAACTAGTGTGTGTATTTTACATACATGTCATATTTTATATATATATTTCTTGAACTTTTTTTTCATACATGGTTTCTTTAGAAACAAGCCTTTGGTTTTGTTTCGCTACATAGTTTTTAAATAGCATTTGTTATCATGGGAAGTATTAGAAGACATGCTTAAATCCTAAGTCTTTTGTTCCAAATTACAAAATATCCAAGCGATCTTCCACTAATTCTTTTACAGATTAATATTATGTAGCAGAGGTACATTTCAAGAAGTTATCGATACAGGACTGATTACTGGCTTTTTGTCTTTGCAAATGACTACTATTATAGCTCTCTCTATATACATAAAAATCTAATATTAATTAGTGGAGCCTTTGTGTTGTAAGTCTTGTAATTAAAGGTATATTTACATATTCATGGCGGTATTAGTGAACAAAGTATTAGTAAGCCTGTGTCCTACATAATCGATTTTATACATGTTAAACTGGTTTTGATAGCATAAAAATTATTCTGCCTATGATACAGGTGATCCATTCACTGCAAAGGCTGTAATGAATGGCCTATATTCAGTAAAAGGCACAGATCTTTGTATTTATTCTTGCAGGAATATTTGATAAAACTGCTGTTTGTGCTGTATGAATCATTGAAACCACCTATTATGGCAGTATTTTTATATGGGTACTGCTATAATTTGTTACTAGCTTTTCACTGGTACTCCTATTATAGGTTCTCCGTGCATATGACTGGAGCGTTATGATGGATTTTCAAATTCATTAAGCGAGTCTTTTTTCCTTTCTCTCATTTTCCTCTTGCAAGCCAAGTTCAAAACAAAAACTTCTGTGCTTTGTCTGCACATCTTTGGCTGTGTTTCATCGTGACATGCACTGCTGTTCTTTTAGCACCAAAATGTTGGCACACATTACTGAAAATTTCACACCATCTCTTGCTGGATCAGCAAGCTTAACCTACCAAAATCTGGTCTTGTTGAATGGTTTTTGACTGATAATCAATCTTTTTACTGCTCGACAGTTGTTGCTGGGACACAGACTAGAGCAGGTGGCAGATGTGCCTTGTCTTTTGAGAAAAGAAAGAGTAGGTGAGCTTGGGCACAGAGTAACATATTGTGTGTCCATTAAAAGGCTAAGTATAACAGGAAAAAGTCACTCCTTTAAGTAGAAAAGCCACCAATACCAGAAAATAGGCCTTTTTTACATCCCTGTTTACAAGTTTAATAGAACTGGAAAATGGCAGTTAATAGTGTAGAATTCCATGTACTCAAAAATCAGAACTGATGTTAAAAGCATTCATAAATTCCCTATATAACATTTCATAATACTTTTTTTTGCTTCTATTTTGTATTTATACATAGCATTAATGACAATGTATACATTTTGAAAAGTTACAGAGTATAGAAGATAGGGATGTATAAAGATACAGAAATAGACAGTACACATTTTAAATCTCTTTCTCTAGCCCAAGAGAGGGATGAGAGCGTAGCGTGGTATAGCTTGTCAGTATAAACATACTCATTGCTGCATTTCAGTCCTTAACACACAGATAAAAAGGTCAAATGTCAGTAGCAAATCTCTTTTGCATGGGAATGAAAGATCAGTGATGTCTGTGAAGCCCCAGCCCTCCAAATATGTGCAAGTGGTCCCATGGAAATCAGAGAGACTTTTTACATGCGTAAATATTTGCAAGATCAGCACCTTTGTGGAAACCCGGATTTCAAGTACTGTGTAAATCACAGTCTCATCTTGCATATACTGTATCATCTTGCCTGTGCTTTCATTGCTTCAAGTGATATAAATACCTGGATAAAATATAATTCATAGTAATACCGATGTCTTGGTTTATTTGGACTTACACACTTTCTCATTTTTCTGACATATTAAAATTGAGATTTAGATTATGTGACTAAGGATTCAAACATAAGTTGACAAATTGTATGATCTGGGATAAAAATTGAAAGCCGTCGCTTCTTGTAATTTAACTCAATATTGACAATGACTTATCAGTTATAAGGTGCCATTCCAACAGAAGTTTAGCAAACAAAGGATTACCGAGTCTCGAGCATTTAAAACATATTTTAGGGGGGCTATTGTGGAACTAGGGTGTTGCAGAACTCTGCCAAAGAGTTAATGCTCTGTAGTATGTTGTTCTTCCACGTAATTTGGTGATGATCAATGGTTGTATTTAATTAATTGTTTGTTGGAAATATATGTGAGATCATGTACTTCAGTGTTTGTTTGCAGGCATATGTATTTAGCAGCTACTGAATTTCACAGTATGTTGGATGTTCTTTATTCTTTTAAAACCTTAGTTTTCTCCTGTCAGCTTTTATTCTACCCCTACATCTCTTTGCAAATGAGTTTCAAGTGTCTCCAGTGTACTGCTTCATTTTTTTGGTATATGTTATTATTTCATTGATTGGTACTGGAATTTTGATTTGAAAAAGGAATATGTTATAACAAATATTTATGAAATATGCAGAAATATGAATCCCATGTGATGAGCCTATCCATATTATAATACAGATTGAAGATGTCAAAATATACAACAGAAATTTCTTGTCAAGCTTTTGAAATTTCCCCTTGAGGCATCGTATATCAAAATAGAATTGAATACTTAGAAAGTAGTTTGATCATATCCTGAAAGTCAGAATGACAGAAAACTGGTCTTTGAGAGGGGTGCTAGTACAACCTAGATTATATTTTGTTTTAAGGATTTCTGATGGAAAATTTGGTTTCTAATTACTATTACAGATTCTTAACAGCTCTTTCCTGTTGTGGGCACCTTTTTAAAATCTAAAATATGCCCATTTCTGAGTTGTTTTGAAACCCTTCACAATACTGAAATCTCCCTTCTGGCCACTCAATGACGTTGAATTCTTTAATGCTTCTTATTCAGGGGTCTAGTGGTAAGATCCCGCCTTAAATGTGTCTTTGCCTCCTTTAGTTTTCTCACTTCACAAACTCCACTGCTTCCTTTGGCACCAGAAGCAAAGGAAATAGATTGGAGAAATTCATCCCAATCCAGAACAAGACAGAGTGACACTTAAGTTCAAGCAAAGAAAAAGGAGAGGAATGGGGAAGATAAATACAGAGCACTGGTGATGGAAGATGCATGCTCTCCTCTCTACCAAAAGGAAGAAAATTGTTTGCGTTGTAAACTATCAACCTATTAGCTTAACCTTTCACCCAGTCTCTATATGGTTTTATCATGCTGCATTGTGCTGCAGTCTCTTCAGGGCTTATCTTATTTATTCTGTTTGGCATTTACACCTGTTTAATTCCCTAAATAATTTCAAGTTTACTTGAGTGTGAATAAGGAAGGAATTCATATGAAATGACATTAAAAAATGTTAATTATTCCTTTTAAACTGCAGCAACACCAAACTTTTGGTTTCTTGAAATAATTTTCATTATTTCTGGACTGCTCAAATTTAATCATAGGAATTTTTGCTTCATTTTTAATATTGATTCCCTGGTTTGTTAGACTTTTAATTTATAATAATTATGCATTTTCAGTTATTTTCCAAAGTAAAATGTAGCTTCATTTTATAAAAGGAATAGCTAACACCTAACATCTGATTTTTGTAAAGTAAATTCTAGATTTCATATTCCTATCACAGAAAACATAGTGAAAGACATTGATAAACCTACATTTTTATATGTATTTTGTGAAAGCGTATAAAAGTCTTTTCACAGTCTGGGGGCCTTCTTTAGTTTAAATGGACATGAATAGCATAACCTATTTTCCTGAAGAGTTCATAGAAAAGTTCAAGACAAAGGGATGAAATATGTTGATTGGCAGAGAAGATGGGATGTTTGTAATTTTAATCAAATTTAGAATTAAGACATACTTCAAATAATATGTCAGACTAGTGTTAGTGAGTTTAAAATCTAATGACAACTGCTGTCATTATTAGTTAAATATAGCCATCGTGCCTGTGGCAATAAAGGATGACACTTCAGAACATGCAGAAACAAAAAGCTCTCAAGTATTTAAAGAGAAGGGAGTGACTGTAAACTTAGTTAAACACAGGAATGTGACCTGAGCATAGTATGTTTCCCAAATAGAGAAGCATCTGTAAGTTGAGCGGAGGACATAACTGAATGCAGCATTTTGTGGTGTTAAATTTTTGGAAACTTGAGCCTTTCTTCCTATTTCATAAATATATATCAGGAAATGTCGTATTTGTTATAGTAACACTTAATTGTATTAATAATGTAAGATGTATTTCGGATTCCTATTACTCTTGCTGTTTTGTACCCTTTAAAATGTATCACTCATTTTTTCAGAATCTTAAGAAGTGGAAACAGAGAAAATTACATTCTGCTTTTAATAGAACTTTTTTCAGCCAATAAGTTCGCGATTCATGAGGTTATGAAGGTTGTTTGAGGCATTGATTGGTGTTTATTTATATCAAGGTGAGAAAAAGGAAAGAAGTAAAAGCAAGATGTTTCTGAATACATATGCATTATATAATATAGGGCTTACAATAGCTGTGTATTTATAATGCCACATGTTAATCCGTTTAAACCTGTAAGTTCATTCCTTTTTGTTACAGTTTCTTACAACTCTGTCAGTGTTGTTTCAACAATGACAGTGTAAAGTGCTTATGACTGAAGGGGATAGGTGTTGGGAGAATAAGACAATTGGATTTTGAAGTAAGTTCAGTGTAATAGGCCCTGTGTGTAACATACAAACCTGGGCTCAGATTGTGAGCAGTGTAGGCAGTACTTAGATAGGAAATGTCGCATGAAAATTTTAATGCTCTGTGAGTTTATATTTGTTATTCTGCAAGTGACATTCTTCATTCTTAATGGTGAACCTCTATGTCATCAGATCATTAAGAATTCTTTTGCTGGGCGAAGGTATTCCTCAGTGTATGAATTTGGATTGTAATTCTGGTATGTTGAAATGATTACAGATTTACAGCCACTTAACTAGCAGTAGCAGTGCTACTGTGTGTTATGGCGGAGTTACTTCCATTTAGGTAATATATTTTGCTTATCCACAGTTCTCAGTGCAATGTCACTTTGCTAAGTTAATCTTCACTTTCTTTACCAAATTATTGGCTAGTGCTGCTGACCTTGTTTAAAAGTTTTTGACAGCTAACATTAAGCATAATACCAAGCATTTAATTTTTTTAAATTGTAATAAATTCTGACAGAAAAAAATTATGTAAATGATGTGCCTGAGTTAAGATTCGTAAATTATAAACGAGACTTTACCACCATTGTTCTTCAGTTTGTTTTTTGATTTAAATGCTCGTGTCTTTTTTATGTTGGGATAAACTCGGTGCTACCAGTGTTTGTCTCAGTGTGAGAATTCTCCTTTGGAGATTTCTGGTTTGTGAGCCTCAAAAGACAGAGCTGCAAACTCCTCAAATCAGGTAGGATCATAGTCACTTAAGGATGCACAGCAGCATCAATGTACAGGCAATTTCAGGTGGCAAGAATAATTTATTCTGGAAAATAAGGGAATAAAAAGGCACTCAAGTACCTGATTTTATGTTTACGGTGCTCTGAAGTGGCAGAAGTATATTCATCACCATGTAGTGCCTGCCCTTCATGTACATAACAACCTCATTGACATCTTGTTCAGTTCAAGGCTGGGAACAAATTGTCGTGCTTAGCATTTTTGACCATGCAGATTCCTAGAAGGCTTATTCCTATTGTGCTTGAAGCTTCCCTACAGGCTTAGAATACACACAAGCTTGACCTTCAGAGCAATCCTCCAGCCAGCCTTAAGGGGTACTGTGGATGTAACCTTAAAGGCTGGGCAAAACTTTTCTTTATCACACTTTTTGGCTTAGGCAGCTATAATCTTCCTAAATTCACCTTTAGGCATCTACTTGCTCTTATCATTCAATGCCAAGACATCTTGAAGTTTCACTTTATGTCATCTTTCATTATAATCTAAATCAGCTGCCACTTCTTTTTCAAGTGCTCAGGAGGAAGCCAAACTTCACTTATTTAGTGTAGTGTACCTAATCTGAGAAACATCCTCTTGCTGCTGTGCAACCACCTCTTTTTTGCAATATCACTGTTTTTTTGTTGTTGGAAGCAGAACTCTTGGATAAGTTATGTGAAGGTATGATTCAAGCTATGGTGTTCGTATGAATTTGGAGATGCATTTCTTCATTACTACAGTCTCTTGGAATCTGTATTGATGGAGGGATCAAGAGATAGTTGAGCCATTCTATACACAGTCTTACACAGTCAACCAAAATAACCTTTTTGCACAATTGGGAGATACTAGCATAAAAAACAATGTCATAAGAAAAATGTCTTCATAAGCTGTTGTTAATGAAGTAAAAATAACTTTTCTGTGTGCGTAAGTGGTTGATCATAGAATCATAGAATCATAGAATCATAGAATCATAGAATCATAGACTGGCCTAGGCTGGAAGGGACCTTAGAGATGATTTAATCCAACCTCCTTGTCATGGGCAGGGATGCCTCTCAACTAGATCACATGGGGACCGAACGGGGATCGTATTTGAGAATGTTCCTTTTAGGAGGTTGTTTCAAGCTTTTCTGTGAGATCTGTACAACTTTTCAGAGCTCTTATTTCTAAAATGGACTTCCAAAAATTTTTATGCTTCTTAAGTGGATAATAATTCAATAATAATAAACCTTTCCAAATTATTTATTAATAAGGACGGTGAAACACACAGAATTGTTAATGCCATTCAGAGAAGCCTCCCTGCGTTTCTTAATCTAGAGTTGTTACTTCTAGCTGTGTCAGATAAAAACTAATGTTCTCTGTCCATCTGAGTCCTACCTGGCATTCTAGTTGTAAATTAGTGTGTAAAAGGGTATTTTGAGCCTAAGAGTCCATTCAGTACAACTGGTGTCAGCAAAGTCTGTTGAAGCTGGAAACTGATGAGTGGCAATGGGGATGTCTAGAGTTTTAGCAGCAATTTTGAACAAACTCATACCAATTATACATGCCAATTGGTTTTCACAGCAACACCAGATTACCTTCCTGCTAACTGCAATTGCAAATTTATGCTGTTTCAAAAGTAAAGATAAGACAAAATTTATAAATTCTACAAGGGGAAGGGCTCTGGACAAGGGGACAATATAGATTTATAATTTCATGTTCTCAGTTCTGGTAAATTACTGTAGCTATACTGAATTCCATAAGGTTAGCTAATTTACATTCACTGAGGGTCTAATCCATGGATTTTAGAATCTGATGTGAAATTCTGTAGGTTGACAGTCACTAAAGACATTTAGCTGAGAAACTAAATCATAATTTAGTTGCATGAGGGGAGATTTTTTCAAATTGATAGCCAATATCAGTGTTGATGAGAAGATAATTTATCTTTTGTCTTAGAACTTTAAATCATTATGAAGAACTGAGCCACTTAGGTTTTATTGGGCTTAGAAACATTAACATAATGAACACACGCTTATGTTTTATAATAAAATAGCCTCATGATTTAAAGATTTGTGAATTGAAACAAATTTTGCAAAAGAACTGTCATGCATCTAATGTAATCCTACTGTAATAATAGCAGTATGAGGCTTACATTTTCAAAATTATGTGTATAGATACATGCCATTAGCATTAATGGCACTTACAAGGCTATGCATAACATTTCTCCTGAGTTAATCCTCTAGCTCCCACTGATTTTAGTGATCTTAGACTGCTAAATAATTTTTAAAGGCTTCCAGCCCCTAAGTTTTTAAATATATTCAGCTCAGACTGAATTATTATCAGTACAATGAGTATGTTTATTGGCACAGTTTTGGTCTGTGGCTAGATAGCTACTGATTATATTTCTGCATGCAATGTACAACGATCTCCTTTGAAGATTTAATTGTATGTGCATTTTTTGCAGAGGCAGCACACCATTTAGAGGTCATTTTCTAGTGTTTGGAACAAGAAGAAAACTAACAGTTGAAGTGAAATAAAAATGTCATTTATATGATGCAGTGTCAGATATGGAACTCAAACAATGTACAAAAGGTTCAGCCTTAATTTTCCTGAAGCAGAAGAAATGAGAGGCATTTCATTTTTGTAGGTGAGAAGTGAAATGTTCCTCTCTGCTCACTGATAAGAGGCATGCTAAGGTGAATTTTAATTATGACTAAATTGTGGTATTACTCTTTCATACCCTGAACATCTGTTCCCTTCAGGAATGATGATTTATGCAGGCTATCACTGCAGACAGCTTGCTACAGCTTATGTCACGGTTAGTAGGAAGCTAGTGGAAGTATTTCAGAAAATACCAGCGTCTAAATGGAGACAAGCCAGTGTGTATATTTAAGGTAATATGGAAAGGGAGCAGGATTCGTCCGGTTTTAACTTTGAAGCCAAATATTAACCTGACCCTTTTTTTCTGTTTTCTTTCACACCATCTGTCATTAATGAAGAAAGTATCTTGGACAGTGAATGGCGTGGTTCTTCATAAAGGTGTCAAGCGAAAGAAAACCACCCGTATGTAGAAAATTGTTGAGGACACCTCTGACAGAATGTTAGTGTTTAAGAACTGCACGAGCCAGGCAAATTATGAGACTATGGCATCACAAAATCAACTTGAAAAGGTAACCTTTGTTTATCAGCATATTTGAACGAATACACCTCGAAAGTACCTTCATTGTTACCACAGCTCTGTTGCTTTTGTGAGACTATAGATTATTCTTAAAAAAAACAGCCAAAGATTCCCTTCAGTTACAAAGCCTTGGAATTCAACAACATGGGGATTATATATATGTTCCGGTGGGATAAGGCGATTTTTGCTTCTGCGCTCCCTCTTCCCTGAGATATAACACTGTAACCGTATAACAACATATTTTGAAGTTGCACTGTATACAAGAATGTTTTTTAATACTTTCTTGGCAGTTCAGTAGGTTTTAGAAGAATTGATACCCTATCTTTGTTTTCGGGTAAGTCTAGAAGGGAATATGTATTTGTCCCAAAACAAGTATGGCATACATGCTTTATATCACCTCATTTCTGTTATTGGCCTATGACGTACTTGAAATAAGTTTCTGAAAGTAAATTTTAAGTACTTTTCAAACCTAGGACTGGTTCACAGCATGGAATACACTTTGCAAAGATTTCCACTGAATTTTGAATGCCTGGAGTATTAGCATTCAATTCTATAATTAGCATTCTGAATTCTATAATACATCTTTTTTTAAGTCTATGAGACTATATGATGTTCCTTGAAGAAACCTCCACCATTTGTACCTTGACACTGTAGGACTCCTGCAACTCCCTGAACTGCACAAGGTTTTTGTTTCATCATTCGGTGAACAATATAGAGAAAATAGCATATGCCAGTACTAAATCAGTTAAAATCATTGGTTATAATCTGGAGTAGTTTCTGGAGTCTGATTCACTGCACACCCACCTAAATACTTTTGCCACAGTCACACATGAGTGGGGAGAAACAAATGAATCTGAAGGAGGAAAACTGCTGGGAAAATTCTAACATGTGCCAAAGGAAAAGTTGTATGTTTATATGCAATTCCCATTTGAATTTTATGCAAGTGTCTGATCTTCCATTGAAAGATGAATGTATAGAGATTGCCACATTTAAAACAGATAGAAAATTAGTGTCTCGGGTACTACTGCAACAGTAAGTATAAAAGTATTTTAACATCTTCAAAATGATATTTCATCCAGTCTAGTGTTTAAAAAGAAAACATATTTCTTGGTTATTAATTGAGAACAAACCCAAATGACCATAAAAATTACAATGATGTGTCAAACTGGACTTTCATCTAGTCCAATATCCTGGTTTGGAGTGAATGTCTAAAGAAAAGTGGAAGAATAAATGCAGCATATGTTGCCTATGTTGATTTCCTAGCATACTGCCCTCATCTGGGACAAGCCAGGCCATGGTGTAGTCAAGTCACAAAGAATATATCACAAAGAATATATCAGAAGCAGAGCATTTTCCTTTTCCTTGAATACCAATATTGTTATTTAAATGGGACCTAGATATGGCAAATATGAACAAAAATGGGCAAGTAGAATATGTTGTAGTTTAGCAGTCCTAAGTGATAACTGACACCTTCAAAAGGATTCCGTGTTCATGAGTGCTAGAACACCAACCTAGGAAACACGAAACTTTATTGATGATGTATTCTCTCTGCCTTATTTTAATTGTATTTCTTTGGAGAGGCAGCATCTCCCCTAAGTTTGGTGCGCAGTGTCAGTTGTGGAATGTGGATTCTGTTGAAGTAGAAAATGTCTCACAGTTGAACACTGCAGTCAAATGTGGACTTTTTAAAATGGGACACATTCCTCTTAAAGTTTACAAGCCTTATAAAGTTTTTCTTCATACTTTGGCTCTATTTTCCATATGAGCACCTTGAAAAAGATGGCTTAGGATATTCACCTGACTGGCCTGAGATAGGCATGGTGGTTGAATAATGTCGTTAGTATTTTCCTCTTGCCTTTTCTTTTCAACAGCTCCATAAACAATTAATTTCTCCTGGTCAAAGTATTGCCATTTCTGTCATCAAAAAGTAACTTGTGTGCTATCTGTCTTATACTTTATTCCAAAGAATGACAGGTAATTTCACTAGCATCATTTCAGTGGCAGTTTCTACTTTAATCACACAACTCCTATAGTGATGATTCACGTCTTTCATAAAATTTGTATTCACTGAAAAGTATTGCACAGTATAAAAACAGCTATTGTATATATTCTCAGGTATCAAGATTTCTGTATGAACCGGAGAAAGGTAAGCTAAATGTTCAATAATCAATTATTTTGAAACGTGTATCAAGTGAATATTATATAAAAGGATACTATCAAGAAATACATATTTTAAATTGACTGAGGTTTATAACTTTATGATATTCAATCTGAAAACCTGGTTCAGCATAAAATCGTAGTATTGAAAGGATTCTTTCTAAAACAATAGCTATAATGCGTGACTAGGGAAAAATACAACAACGTGGACAAGGACAATAAGTAGAATTTAGAATTTGACTATGGGCACAGGAAATAACTTGTGATAGTCCCTACTGTGACGGCATACAACAAGCCAAAACATTATTATGTTTGGGGTGTGTTGCTCTCCATGTTTCTAATGGAGAGTTTCTATCTGAGAAAATCCTCTTGGCCTTTCATTGGCGGGTTGCTGCTGTTGGACAGGTTTCTGTAACTGATTCAGCACTGAATGTTTGGAAAATAGAGATGAGCGTCTATGAGTTATTCACAATTTAAAAAAAAGGAAATACACAGGAAGATTATTGGGGTTTATGAAAGACTTCTGTAGACTTGATGAATGTCTTCCAAATGGTGCCACAGTTCCTTGCGTAAGTGTTCCCAACAACAATTATAAGTCGATAAAGCCGTGATCAGTCAACTAGTTAAAAAAGAGCCTGTTTAAATACTTAAATATAGAAACTTGACCTTAAACAAAGAAGAGAAATTAAAATCTTGTATGACCTACATTGGATGAAATGGAACTAAACTGCCGTATCTCTCTTTTTGTCTTAATATGGTTATAATTATCACACATATAAACAAATGCAGTACTCTCCTTTCCACTTCTCTTCCATTTAATTCCCTTCCATTTCATTCTTAACTCCTAAATGAGGAGAAATAGTAGTCAATTATTACTCTGTACTTCTCTTTTGGTCTTAAATTTGTCCAGATTTTAGTTTTGTCTCTGAACTTGAACACAGGAGCGGGTGGAAAACCTGGTTGTAAGATTCATGTTACTAGAGTAATTCCTTCATTCCAAGTTAAACATTTGCATGTAATTCAATAGCTTTTATAAATTGTTTTAAAACAATGGAAATAAGTTGGTATGTTTTATTCTGAATTAGTGAAATTTGGAGGAGATGATATAGCACAGTAAGTACAGTGAGGCTTCCATTGCACAGAATATTGTGAGCAGGTTTGGTACTGACGTACAATACCTTCCGTGTTCTGTGGAGATAGTGTGATGTGATTACTCTCCTGCAGGCCATCACAAGTTGTCACTTCTGGTTGCTGTTGGCTTGCATTGCTGTGGTCCCACACACTGCTGTTTGCAAAGTCACAAGCCATGTTGTAGTGACTGGAAATATGTGTCATTCCTGCACATAAATGGACTGAGGAGTAAAATTAAGGCCATGGTAACTCTTTCCTTCTGTCTGGAAAAATAGTTTTCTACAAAATATGAGACTATAATTCTGAATACTGTGTAAAACTTTGCTGAGTTCTTTATAGCCTGAATCATGCAAATGACTTCATATTTAGGTGGTATCATTAATTAGTAGGAGGACAATAATTTCAGTCCGGGGCTATTTTTGCTTTTACATAGCAAGTTACTTAAATCTATTAATCTTGTATGCTGACCTGTTACAAGCTATTCTAGCTTAAAATAATAATAATAATAAAAAAACTAAAATAAATGTGCAGGGTAGTAGAAGTGGAGAAAGAGGCATAAAGTGTATTGGAAAACTACCAAATGTCCCCTGCAAATGGACCCTATTCAGAATCAGTAAGCGTATGATGAGTGAAGTGGTTTTGAATATCGCCTTTAGATTCCATGCTGTTACAAGGCCAGCCCCGAACATGGCAACTCTTATTTCCACACACAGTACCTCTTCACTCTCAATTTAACCCAAAAATCTGATGAACCCATTACTCCATACTTGATTTCATGGAACAAGGAGTAGATATAGTTACAAATGATCAATCACAAGCCGTGAACCAAAGCAGCAAGGCATTAACAATTCACACCATTTCGGTCCACTTGCTCAAGCAGAAGATGTGCCAGCATATTTAATGCACAGCTACTTCGTTCAGTTCAAGAAAAGACATGACTCATGTTCATTTTAGGAACTGAGGAGACTTCATAGGTTTTCATGCCTACTAACCTCTAAGGTTAGAGTTTGCACTTCTAAACAATTAATATAACCAGGTGTTCAGTAAAGGTCACAAAGAGAGATAAATCTTTAAATTAAATTTTGATCAGGTTGAAAATAAATGGAAAGATGACCTGGGAAATGGTTCCCACAATAAAGCCAAGTTGTGTTGTACAAATTTGTAGTGCACAATCAACATCGTGTTCAGTAGTATTGTAACATTGTAGACCCCACAGGCATATGCCGTCAATTTAATGGGATCAGTGAAAAAGCAAAGCAGCTGTGAAAGATTGCTTTAAGTACAGCCATCGTGTGCTTGTCATTCTGTTCAATGGTGGAAAAATCCAAATTCGGATAGGCATCAGTATTTAAGAAAATGACTGCTAAAGCATCTCTCGTAAGTACCTTGGGGACAATACGATTTGACATATAGCATGTAAACAAAAGTACACAGCAGCTGTTAGATTAGTTTTGTTTGAGTAAAAACACACTGACGTGATTTAAATAACATAGGAAAATGCATGTTCTCCATCATTCAGTTTCCCTATATAAACCACAGTTTTGGACAGTACATGACAAAGAGCTGTGTGGTCTTTGCTAAAAATACGAACAGTATA